CCAACTCTAATGCTAACCCTTTATTTTCTAACAAAGGCATGTGACTGCATTGTCAGAGCTGACATATAGATCAATAGGTTTGCTTATAAACAAAGCCATGTCACTAGCATGCCTTTGTTTATCAAAAAAGACATGTAATAAACAAAGACATTCATCACCAGGTCTACTGTTTTCACCACTCTTCCCTGACTATCAGCATGTTTATCTTCATGTAGAATAATTGTTTAATGCATATTGCACAACTGTGATAATGACAAAGCTTCAAAAATTAACCGCTTCCGCGCCACCCTATAGTAGAAATACTACTACATAGCGGCACAGGTGCGAAAACCCCCGTATAAATATGCACCCTACCTGCACCACCATTCATGGCCTCGGCTCTCAATCACCGACACCCGGTGATTGCTGAGTATTACGGGGGAGAGACCTGTGTATAAACAACACAGATCTCTCCCCTATCAGCTCCTGCACACTGCTTTGTATGGCTCTGCATAGCACAGGCGATCAAATACCACCGAAAGAAAGCTCTATTTGTGGGAAAAAGACCATAAATTTCATTTGGGTGCAGCGTTGCATGACAGCGCAATTGTCAGTTAAAGTAACGCAGCGCCGTAGCGCAAAAAATGGCCTAGTCAGGAAGGGGGGTAAATCCTCTGGAGGGCAAGTGGTTAAGGAATGCGCAGTATTATCAATTAAATACATACTGGAATGGTGACAACTGCTTATTGCAAAAGGAAAGTGGTGTTATAATATTTTACAATCACAGCCTTCCATAAGTTTAGTAGAGTTGATGGCACAAAACTAGAATTTCCCTTTAATTCCAGCATTGCTTATATTGATGTAAAGATGTGGATATCTAACAAACATGCCTGCTTGATATGTAAGTGTAATCAAGAAGATACATTTCTAGAAATGTTGCTTTGTTATGCACAAAGCCTCAGATCACTTCACCATCTGCTATGGAGGTGTGGGAGAGCTGTTCTTTCTCGATGGGCAGCCACTGTGATACACATAAAAAAGAACTCGAAAGAATCATATGTATCTATTGTTTCTTCATCATAATGGGACTGAGTTAGAAAGAAAAGTAAGTACTAGAAGATGGGTAGACAATAGAATTGAATAGATGCATAAGAATATGATGACATATTGTAATTTGTGCTGTCTGAAAAACCCAAAGCTTCACATGTCACACATTGGAAAATGTAGGTTCTATCAGCCTGAATCACTTGTTTTTTTAATTTAACAGTTGCTTGATCTCCATATGTTCATTTCTATCAAGTGTTTACAAAATGTGTATCTCATCAGATCACCTGAACAAAGAAGTCTAAGAATTTAATTCAACCTAAATGGCACTCAACATGTTTCTATATTTAACAAGGCCCCTTCATTCATATTACCCACCATGACTCAGAAGTCATGACTCATCACTGCCAATGACCCTAACCACAGCTTCTCCTAGCACAACAAAAGTTTTGTTGTATCCTGCTTTAGAGTTCTCTATAGTTAGGGGAAAGAAAGAAAGAAATGGAAGCACCAAGGGTTTATAGGTTACCTTTTGTATACTGCAGCCCTATACATATGCAAGGGTTGTCTCTGGGATGAATGCAGAGACATAGGGGGTTAATTACTAAAACTGGATGGTGCAAAATCTGCTGCATAGAAACCAATCAGCTTCCAGGTTTTATTGCCAAAGATTAATTGAACAAGCTGAAGTTAAGAACTTATTGGCTACCATGCACAGCTGCGCCAGAGTGCACCAGTTTTAATAAATCTACCCCATAGTGACTGCCCTTCTGGTTCAACTCACTCAATCTTACTGGCCATACATAGATCAAAATTTAGTTCAGCAGGGTCTGGACAAATTTCAATCCATGTATGGACACCCTGGTTATGCAGAAGTCGATCTACCAATTATCTTCTGTACAACCAGCCTATTGGTTTTTTACTGATCGATCAGTGCCGCTGGCTATAGCAGGGATGGCTATCCACCATCAAAACACAATAGCACAGCAGGGTGAGTCCTCCATCCACCTCAAATGTGTAGATGGTGGAATTGGATCTTTTTTCTTCGTTCCATGTATGGGCTGCTTTAGGGGCTGATTTATGAAAGAGTGGACATCACTAGCCACTGTCTGCTATAAACTGCAATACATTCAACATTGCAGATTACATTTAAAGACCCATTTGTAAAGTTTAGACCATGCTGGGGAGTGCCACATGGGTTCGCCAAAGTCAAAGTCAGTCCATAAGGGGCCCCTGCATTGGCGAAGCTTACAGCTGAAGTGCAGCTTGTTAACCCATTCCATACACTGTACAGCAGACACTGAAACCCTAGCCCATTACTGCCTTACATTACCACTCTCTGGAAATCATTCTGCCTATTCAGTCAACTCTCAAGGCTGTTACCTCAGACATCCAGAATTACCTTTCTGACTCAATATCACCTTTGGAAACTTCCCTCCCTCTTTCTGAACTTACAGAAATTCTGTTACTTCCGTGAGCTAAATCCCCACAGTCACCTCCTGACTTTAAGCATGTGCGAACCATTGAGCTCCACTGTTGTGCACCACCGTAAGGGCCCCAACCAAGCTGGCAATACTAAATTCTTCTCTCCATATCCATTCCACCCACAGACTTTGTTGCCCAAGCATTAGCCTCATACACACGATGAGAATATCGGATGAATTATCGTCCTTTTTTTGCATGCAGTCTCATATCAAAAATGTAGAGGTTACTAAAGTTACAAAAATTCTTGTATGACAGGATACAACTTTGGACGTGATGTAATGTGTTGTTGTGTATTGTAATGTATTCCTTCGTTTCTGAGCATGGGTGTCTTGGTCGCTCAATTTTTTTTTCAGACAACTACTGTACTGATTAAATGAAAATTGTTCATTCTAGTGTCATACGAGAAAAATTTTCATGCCTGTCCTTTCAGATAGTTTTGTATGAAGTGTCGTGATTGGCTCTGGAAAGTTGTGTAATAAAGATCAGATTATCAGATGATCACTTTGAAAGCATTTTTTTCATCTGATTTTCTCACCGTGCGTACTTAAGCTGATCTTATTGTCTGGTGAAACCTGGACTTGGTTACTCTTTGATTTATTGTCCACAAACATCTGTAGCATGGAGTATCTATGTATAGTGTTATGGCATCATTGCATTCTCTTGTTCATTAATTGTATTACTTTATCCTTGTTTGAGCTGTTTAATATTAATAGAACTCAGGGGCGGACTGACAACTCATGGGGCAATAGGGGATCATGGGGCCCCTGTGTCCTTGCCCAAACTCAAAAAAGCCTATGAAAAAGGTACCAGGGCCATCTCATGGGGCCCCCTACTGACCCCGGGCCCTCGGGCAGTGCCCGAGTTTCGAAATGGTCAGTCTACCCCTGATAGAACTACAGCTTCTACTCCAATTGGTGTTGTCTAACTCATTGAGTGGGGGTGTGTCAGAGTGGTTAAAGTTGTAATACCAATAGTCTATAGACCAGATTAGTTTCAGAGGGTTTTTTCACTCCTTCGGGGGTCTGGTACACATTTGTTTTTTAATTATTACTTTAAAGCAGCAATATGGCCTAGGTAAGGCCAAACCACTGTTGTAAAAAAAAGAAGCACTTCGATGTTGCTCCCTAATATTTCCGAAATTGCTACACATGACACTTCAAAAACCCAACCTATCCATATATCATGCCTAGATCATTTGATGGCATGGGTCATGCATTTCCATTTAGATGTTATTCAGAAATCACTGAGATTCTCTATCTCCTTTTGTGAATGGCATCTGAGAAAGAAAATGGAAGGTTTCATGCTTCCATGATATTTAAGTGTAAACTAGAAAACTATCATTTGTGTAACTCAGGTTTAAAAAAACAAACAGCCTCAGCATTCCAATTGGTTGTTGTGGACAATGGATCCAGTGGCCACTAGGGCACATAGAAATAATTGTTTTCTATAATTGTTTCTGTGAGCCCCATTTGCACTGCAACGCATTGCAGAGATATTGTTCAATGAGCTGCGGTAAAATGCAGACATGCTACATTTTACTGCAGCCCACGGTTAGGCACTGAATTTCACAGCAGAGCAATGCACCACACTGCTGTGCAGAGACATGAAGGAAGTGTCACATTTTGCACCATAAATAAAGTTAAAAACATGGAAACAGTGTGATGCGCTGAAACGCACATTACACCGCCCCATCACTACAGCCAAAAAGTGACAGTTGCACGTTAAACACTCAGATCAGTGTAAACTAACACCGGTCATCCAAGATTTATCCTTTTATTACAATACATATTCTCTGCACCACTAAAAAAATGAACCACATCAACATTCTTCTTTCTATCTTGGAGTTTACATATGTAGCAGGTATTTTAGTCTCAGATTTGGGTTGCTTTGACAACCTACATTAAATGGAGCTGTACTACAAAAGCACTAGAAAATTAGGATATTAGCTATTACAGTTTCCAAATGTATGAAATCAAACTGCTTCCAAATTCTCCACAAATGCTAAATTGTAGATTAAGGAGCTTTCAGTCTCTTACAATCCCCATATTTATTCAAAAAATTATAAAAGGCAGTGATGTATATGCTTCTCAAATAAAACATCCATTACAAGGAAGCTTCAGAGATTTATGTCATTTTAGGGTGCATTTGACTCAGATGACAGCTAACTTTTGTAATCATTCTTTAACCACTTGCCTACCGGGCACTTTTACTCTCTTCCTGCCCAGGTCAATTTTCAGCTTTCAGTGCAGTCACACTTTGAATTACAATTGCGCAGTCATGCAACACTGTCCCCAAACAGAATTTTTATTGTTCTTTTTAGACAGATAGAGCTTTCTTTTGGTGTTATTTAATAAACCCTGAGGCTTTTAGTTTTGCAAAATAAACTAAAAAATACTGAACATTTTGAAAAAAAACATTTTTTTCTTAGCTTCTGTTATAAAGTTGTTATAAAGTTGTTATAAAATATAGTAAATAAGTAATTTTTCTCCTTCACTAATGTGCGCTAATGAGGCTTCATTGATGGGCACTGATGGGCACTGATAGGTGGCACTGACTGGCACTGATAGGCAGCACTGATTGCTGCACTGATAGGTGGTACTGATTGGCAGCACTGATAGGTGGCACTGAAAAGCAGCTCTTATGGGCACTGATATGTGGCATTGATGTGCACTGATGGGCATTGGTATGTGGCATTGATGGGAAATTACAGGTGGCATTGATGGGCACTGACAGGTGGCACTGATTGAGCTACACTGATCATCAGGGCACTGATCATCGGTGTCCTGATGATCAGTGTAGATGTCCCCACTGAGGAATGCCGATTACTCTCCTCTCCTCATGTGCTGTCAGCGTGAGGAGAGGACTGCCAAAACCCGGCATTTCCTATTTACATGTGATGAGCTGTGATTGGACACAGCTGATTACATGACAGAGCCAACTTCATCGGCTCTTTTCTCTGATTGGTGATCCGCTGTGTCCCAGGGACACAGCGCACCACCGGTTGCGCATGTGCAGTTAGAATGGGAGGATGTCATGTGACATCCTCCCAGAACGAGAGAACCGCCGCCTACCCATCATTTCCTTATGTGGCGGGCAGGAGGTGATTAAAGAACACATTTTATCATAAAAAAAGGGGGATTCTGCAACTGGTTACTTCTTTCTAATGTATAGATATAATACCAGTTTTCTGTCTGTGTCTGAGTTTTCAGTACTAGACTAAGGCTAAGTTCACACCTATGTATGTTGTGCATCAAAGTCACATCAAAGTAGTGCAGGAACCTTTTCAAAGTCTCTTGAATTTGAAGGGGTTCAATTGCAGTCAATGGGCTGAGACTTGTAAATGGACTTTATGGAGTTTATTTACTAAAGCTGGAGAGTCCGAAATCAGACTCCCTTCTGCATAGAAACCAATCAGCTTCTAACCTCAGCTTGTTCAATGAAGCTTTGGCAATGAAACCTGGAAGCTGATTGGTTTCTATGCAGAAGGGAGTCTGATTTTGGACTCTCCAACTTTAGTAAATAAACCCCTATGTGTCCAAAGTTACCTGTTATGGTTAGGGCTAGTGTTAAGGGTTAGGACTAGGGTTAGGGTTAGCATTAAATGTTAATCCTAACCCTAAACATTTAACCCTAACATTTAACCCTAATCCTAGCCCTTAACCCTAACCCTGACATTTAACCCTTAACCCTAGTCCTTAGCACTAATCTAAACCCTAACCTTAGCTCTTAACCCTAACCCTAAAATGTAACCCTTACCCTAGCCCTTAACCCTAACCCTAAGATTTAACCCTTAACCCTAACCTTAGCTTTTAACCCCTGACCCTAGCCCTTAACACTAATCTAAACCCTAACCTTAGCTCTTAACCCTAACCCTTAACCCTAACATTTAACCCTTAACCCTAACCCTAGCATTTAACCCTAGCCCTTAACACTAATCCAAACCCTATCCTTAGCTATTAACCCTAACCATTAACCCTAACATTTAACCCTAGCCCTTAACCCTAACATTTAACTCTAACCCTAGCCCTTAACACTAATCCAAACCCTAACCTTAGCTCTTAACCCTAACCTTTAACTCTAACCCTAACATTTAACCCTAATCCTAGCCCTTAACCTTAACCCTAACCCTAGCTTTTAACCCTAACCCTAGCCCTTAACACTAATCTAATCCCAAACTTAGCTTTAAACCCTAGCCCTTAACCCTAACCCTTAACAGTAAGCTAAACCCTAACCTTAGTGCTTAACCCTAACCCTAACATGTAATCCTCACTTTAGCCCTAACCCTAGCCGTTAGCCCTAACCCTAACATTTATCCCTAACCCTAAACCCTAACTTTAGCCCTTAAACCTGACCCTAGCATTTAACCCTAACCCTAACTCTAGCCATTAACCCTAACATTTATCCCTAACCCTAAACCCTAACTCTAGCCCTTAAACCTAACTCTAATGTACAAGTTTGGACACAAAGTCACATGATATGTCACAGCCCATTGATGGCAAAGGAACCCCTTCAAATGTATGTAACTTAAAGTTGCAGCGACTGAAAATGTTCCTGCACTACTTTGAAGTGACTTTGATCCGACTTGAGTGCCAGATAATGTAAAGTCGCATCAAAGTCACACTCAATGCTTTCCTCTTGACCAAAGTGAAACGGTAAATACATTAGAAAACATAAATGTCCATTAAAGTCTATTGCACCAAAAACACAATCTGCTGCAGGAAAAAAGTCCCTGATCCTTTTTAAAAAAGCAGCGGCTGAAAACGCATAGATGTGAACGAGTCCCATGATAAAAATGGACCGTAGTGCGTTTCTACAAATGCACTACAAAACGCATAGGTGTGAACCAGGCCTTAGAACAAGCAGACAACATTGTTAATGTGAATGTTAGAGAGAAGATGGGATTCCCTATCCTTGTACTTATTTTAAATTAGTGGCAGTCAGGCAACAAACATTTTCAGAAGGTGATGTCAGCGATGGCAGCTCCTGTACATCTCTCATGATAGATGTACCATTATATCCCGGTCACTTTTAGGTGTCTGGAATACAGGCCGAATTCAGGTTACAACTAGGCATAAGCTCAGTGACCCCTTTAGGGGTCTGATATGAATTTTACGGGACTTTTTGGGATCTGTGTGACATTTTTTATTTTAGGAAAGAAGCCAGATAGATGTCATTTGCTTTCAATGTAAACATTTTCCTTCTGTAAAGGTGCTTTTAAACATCAGCTGATCCTGGTTCAGGTGGTAGGCAGATACATGGTCAGCAAACAGGCAAAGGATTGGTCCAGACAGCAGACAGAAATATGTTCCATAAACAGGCCAGGGTCAGTACAGGTGGCAGGCTGAGGCAGCACTGCATTGGATTGGCAGTGATCAAGAACACTGTTGCTGGCTGCACTGGCTCTGGTGACATTGTCACTGCTATGGCAGTGGATAGGAACACTATTGATGGCTTACACTGATGGTGACTTCTGTGGCTAGTGATCAGAGACAGTGGTTTGTTGCACTGGCATTAGTGCTCAGTGGGCTGTCATTGTTTTTAATTTTTGTAAGCACTCTGAATGCTTACTACAGTGCTGATCACTGTAGTAAGCACATCTGAAAGATGTGATTGGTCACAGTGATCCCATGGTACAGGGTCAACGAACACAGCAGTCATAGGGCATATATGTTGGTAGGAGCGGAAGGATGTACAGGTACATACTCCCAAATACAAGAAGCCAGTTTGTCTCTTCACTAGTTAATTCGTTATAGCGTGAATGTTAATACCTGACTGGTTTACATACAACACCTACACATTTGTCTCATTCTAATTCAGTGCAATTATATAACATATTAAAGGTATGTTATTCACAATAAAAGTTTAGGTCAATTCCACTGTAAAAAATCAACATATAACAAAACAAAGCTTATGGTAAAGACCAGGGACATTGTTGACCAAATATGGTCATGTCCATTGTGATATTGGGGGATATTTAGCTCACTGGTGGTTAGTTTTTAATGAGTCATACTTTGATTTAAGGGCTTTCTGGACCACTTTTATTAGCTTTACAACAGTCAATGAAAATGCCAATCTACGTGACTGTTTTCTTGCTCTCCTGGATCACTCAGCCTTGAATTGCAGCACCTTGCTGCATGGGCCCACTCCTAGCCTCTAGATAGGGGTTCTCTTGACACTCTGAGTTCTCTCTCACTCTCCTCCTAAGACTTATGGACTTCTTCCAGTCCCCTGGGCTAGCTTCCTCAACTCTCTCAGTCTCCCAGACTTGTGCAGCTGTCCAGACTCTCTCAGTTCTGTGGACAAGATATACCCCAAACATGGGTTTCAGTCTCTTGGCAGGAACACACACCCCTCCTGGCTGAAGTCCACAACACTCTCCTGACAATGCTTTGTTTTCATATGGTACCTCAGAGCTATGATCAAACCTAGTTTATAACCAATCTTCACACCTGTGTATCCCCACAACCTGCAGGTCTCCAGTAAAATGTGGACACAGAATTGAAGGCCTTGTCAATCCCAAAACACTTAAAAGCTTTCAAGCTCCAGGCCCCAGTCTGGCATTAAAAAACCGTGAGAACACCAACAAGCCAGTTCTGAAGCTTCACACTCTGCCTTAATGCGAATCCTATGTGTCTTTTTCCTATAATCACACCACAGCAGGGCCTAGCACACTCACACCCAGGGGCGGACTGACCATTTTGGAAACTCAGGCACTGCCCGAGGGCCCGCGGTCAGTAGGGGGCCTCATGAGATGCCCCTGGTACCTTTTTCATAGGCTTTTTTGAGTTTGGGCAAGGACACAGGGGCCCCATGATCCCCTTTGCCTGGGGGCCCCATGAGTTGTCAGTCACACCATATATGGTCAATAATGTGATCCGGTGTGACCTTGCTGCGTATATAACAGCTGTCTTTTATCGGACCTGTCATTCAGCAGGAGACAAGCAAGTGAACTGGACGTGAGAAATTTTGTTTCTTCTGGCAGGGGTCGGACATTATGAATGATGTGCATCTACATCACTGGGTGTATCTGGGTGCCCCCTTATTGTTAAAGGGGGCTTCTAAATTCCAATAAGCCCTCACCTGCAAAGGCCTACAGCCACCAGACAGGGATTAAGGGGAAGAGGCACTTCGTCCTCATCTACATGGAGACAAGGTGCTTTATAAGGGGAATCCCCCTTGGCAAGATACCCCCTATCTTTATGGCATGTGGCTTGGGATGGTTCAGGAGGGAAGAACCCTTATCCCCTCCTTTTTCTGGCTAGTCAGGAACTCTGGTGTGGATGAGGAGGACTTTTTGTTTCATGGGGTTCCCTTCAGGTAAGTATACACCTAGTGGGGAAATTCTAGGTTATATTAGGATAACGGGCTAAAAAGGATGAACTGTATGGTTTTTTAATCAAAACAAAACGTGTCTGTTAAAGCATATCATAAGTCAAAAACACAATTTCATTTTATACTATAGCTTACCAGTCCTTAGGTGAGGAGGCTGCATTATATTTATTTCAGGCTTTTTTGCTTTTTTGCTTTGTCCTGTATATTACACACTTGCTGTCCCTGGGTGGATACATTCACTGTATCTATGGGAGAAGCCATGGTTCCCACCCAGTCTTAACTAAAAATAAAGCTGGCCATACATGGTTCAGTGGGCTGAAGAGAAAAAACTGAACTGATTCTTCCATTCACATATTCAGGTGGATGTTGAAATCTTCCTCGCTGTGTCTTTGTATTCTGGCAGACAAGGAGTCAGAAAACACTGGTAAGTGCTGCAGTCTATTGGCTGCAGCGCTGATTGAACTAAAGTTTTTCAACAAACCAATTCATGAGAAGCTGATTGATAGAAACTTCTCATGAAAAGGAACGGCCGTAGATGCATTGAGATTTGGCCAGTTCAGCAGGAACTTTAATCAATGTAAGTCTGCCTTTGCTGATCTC